AACAACTTGTTTCAAGCAGGCCCCAATAGGCTGAAAGGAAAAGCACGGATGCATCAACAACTGATCAAGACAACATTCCCCAGAGGAGGAAGAGGAGGAAATTGTGAAGGCTGCCAAAAAAGGAAGGCAAACCCAGTAAAGAACAGAAGTGGTATTTTACTATGTGTTTTGAACAAATCCTCAAATACGATGCAGGGTAGTCACACCATCCCTGCTGTCCCAGCCACAACAAAGGCACTTCTATACTCAAAACATTTGTGTTTTTCTTGTAACTACTTGCTGAGGCATCACAGGATCTGTCCTAGTATATGAAAACAGAGAATCATCTGTATGCTGACAGAACTGCTCAGAGTTCCATCTATTTGGGGACACTGCAATAAAGGAGGGTGTCCTAGATAGTATGACACTGGACCTCTAGGGCAGTATAGACAACACCCGTAGCTAGGAACACAGTCCATTATTTCATAGTAGAACCCTGAGCAGAATATGGATACAGACAATTAAGCCAGGAAACATTCTCTGGTAAGTAAATGAGAAAGAAAGAAAGAAAGGAAAGTAGTAACAGGATTGTTTTTGTAAGAGGTCCCTCCATGTTTCCCTCCACCCCAAGTCCAAAGATGTTGCCAGACTGGATTTAAACTGCATTTCTGTGTGTTATTTCTTGGAATACACTGACTGGGCTTCTCTTTACAAGGAGGAACTCTATTTTAGGAATGTTACCAGGTAACTGGTTAAATGGTTACTCAATAAGCATCCCCGTTTATAACGGGAACCACAACAGCAGCTGTGGGAACCGCAGCAGTAGTAGTGGCTCTGCCTGTGGTGGGGGGCCCCCCCCCCCCGACTCAGCCCCCTTTAATCCCTTAAATGTAGTGGTTAACCATTTAACCAATTACATGGGATTTTACATCCCTGCTCTATTTGCACAGGATGCATTTCTGAAGGGTTTGAATTATAATACAAGGAACATCTGTCAGAGCCAAGGAGCAAAGAAAGAGTCTACAGGAGAAGAGATGTGTTGCACTACAGCGAAATCCTTCCAAATATAGAAAGTATCTGGCGCTCACTTGTAATACTTCAACTACAGTTGTGTGTGGAATTTAAGCTTAAGTTTCAAGACGATAATCAGAGTTTGGGGCAAAAGTGCCGCGAATGACAGGAGAAAAGGGGTCAATGTATTTTGGAAGACTTAAAAGGACAAAGTCAAACTAAAGTTAGCTTCCTTCTCAAAACGTTCACTAGTTAGTAGTAGGGATGTCAACGTACAGTCCACTACTGATTAATTGATATGCCTTGGCTTATCCGTTAACTTTATCAACTACACGCACTCCCCCCTCCCCTGGTTGCCTTTGTATCAGAGTCAGTGGGAGCCAGTCCCCATGAGGAGCTGGCTTTTAGCAGGTTCCTCATGAGCACCAGGTCTGCCTGCCCTCTCCCACTTGTGCACTGCTGCCTCTGATAGAGAGTCAGCAGTGCTGAGAGTGGGGGGAGCAAAGTTGCAGTCGATACACGTGGGGAGCCAGCTTTCAAGCAGGCTCCCTGGGCATGCTGGCTGTGCAGACCTGCCTGCCTCCTGCCACTGTCTCCTATAGAGGTGGGGGGAGGAGAGGGGAGAGCAGGTAGGAACCGATTCCCCCCAGCACCTACTCTGTGGTGCTACCTGCCTCCCTCCACCCATGCTATCAAAGGCAGCAGTGGAGGGGGGGAGGGAGGCGGCGTGCTTGCGGGGGAGGCTGCCACAAAGCAGCTTCTGGCCACAGAGGTGGATGTGCAGCAGCAGCACCTCTCTGCAGGGGGTCCAAGCTCCCGGAGGCTGCTTTGTGGGAGGTGGAGCAGGCTCTGTCTGCAGGCAGCTTGGATCCCCCACAGACAGGGGCTGCTGCCACCCTGCGCTGCTGTTTCTCTATCAGAGGCAACAGTGCAGGGCAGCAGGCAGCTGGTCTGCACAGAGAACTCGTTTTTAAACTGACTGTCAGACCAGCCCCTGCCTGCTACCCTGCGCTGCTGCCTCTAATACAGAAGCAGCAGCACAGGGTGGCAGGGGGCTCCTGAGGAGTGACGCTGGGAGGGCACTGGCTACCAGCCCTTCCCCTGGGGATTATCGAACAGTCATGTAACCACTAAGATATCATGCGGGAACAATATCGAACGTCTCCAGTTCGTAGTAATACCTGAGGTTACAAAAAATGAAAGATTCAAGAAAAATACTTGTTTTTTCAGTTTACTTTGTGCATTTGACACCACTGTCTGCGGTTTCTTTCAAAGCAAAGTAAGAATTTTTTTAGGAAACAGCAAAATCAGAAAGACTGGTACTGTCAGACTCTTGCACTGTATAGCAGCTAAAACGACTTCTTTTAAGTCTTTTTAACTGAGATTTCAAATGGACTGACACTTAAGAAGAAGAAAACAAACATGACATTTCATTTAATTATACCAGTTAGCTCTTTTGCATCTTTTCCGTACCCTGTCTCAGGCTTTCAGATGGGAAATACTTGGGTTTTGCTACGCAATGTACTAGTATTTTTATGGCACCACTGACATTTCTAGCAGTCATATGATGGCTTCATATGTCAGAAACACTTCATAAATTGAGGCAAAATGGAAAATGTCCAGATCTTGCTTGAGAAAGTTGTCTCCGGTTATTTCTCAAATGATTTTTAAACAATTTATTTCCTTTTTAAAAAAACCAAGGAATGTTGGGAATTCAAACTCAGCTGTCTTTCATCCTTTGGATGTGCTCCTCCATATTGTGGTGATACCGCATTTGCAACACCACAATATTGGCCCATCGACTATTCGATTATTTAATTAATCTAAATTTAACATCCCTAATTTGGATAGGGGGTATAAAGTTGATCTTGCTAAACTACTTCAAGGTAATAATGACAAAATCTAGTCTCACCTTGCTTTAAAATTGCAAAGGTCTAATGTATTTTCTTGATCTGAAAACCATTTCTCTTTTACAGTGAAGGGAAAATTTCAGTGCAGACAGCTGAGCTGATGTTCAAGTCTCAGTGTAAACCGTAAGAGAGTTTGGTAACTAAAACAATGCAGTTAGTTTCCTCATGCAGACAAGTCCCCGGAACATTACACCACATCCCAACCAATCAATTCGTACCACATAAGGGAACCTCTGAAAGGATTCTAGCAGGGATGGTGAAACGATTCCATGTTCCATTTTGTATTTACTTCTAAGGGACGACCACCACTTACACACAATTACAGGCAAGTTAAAATATCAAACTTAATTCTTACATGGCTGAAATTAAAGCAATGGCAGTGGGGAAGGGGGAGAAACAAAACAAGGGTATTAACCAGTTTTTCACGATCCTCTATGGACTGCAGATACTGCTCTTTGCCCTGATTCAATTCATCCCTCTTCTTCAGGTAAGGCTCGATGGATTTATACTGAGCATAGAAGTTACTCAAGTCCTGAATTCAAAGAGAAAAAGAAAGTATTTGACTGACAATTTGCAACAGTTATTCGAGCAAGTGATCAGACATTCTACATTTGCATTCGGGAAGAAAGTGTTGCATTTGCCCCAATAACCTCCCACTTCCTTTTTAAAGACAACAGGTGTAACCACTATCTATGAAGCTACAAGAATTAAGGAATTGGTTACTCAGCTCTCGTTGTTCCATCACAAACCATTTTAGAAAGACCTTATAAAAAGTCAGAAATTTTGGAACGATCTCTTAGCCAGGCACTACACCCTGCCGCTGAAAACCAAGGTACAGCCTAAAACACTGTCATCCTTGGTCCCACAAACTACAGCAGAGGCAGAAACTCACCGGAACGAGATCCTTCACCACATACATGTGGGGGAGAGGGTAGATCTTAGAGACCTTGCTAAGGTTGGTGTCAATTCTTTTGGTACAGGCCAGGGTGTTCCCACCATTGATGTTCATAGCACAGGAGCCACAAATGCCTGAGGAGAAAAGAGATAACAGATCGTCTGATTTGTATCCTTTCACGTGGGGGGGAAAGGGGGAGCGAGCTTGCCTCAAACAACCCCCTTTCCACAGCCATGATGCCACTTTAAAAGCTAGTGTAGGTATCACTGTTCTGCCAGAAGAAAGATCAGAATTCTCTTGGGCTCTCATTCAAAGAAGCTCTTGGGCCAGCCGGAAGTGTCACTGTCTAACAACGAAAGACTCTTTTCGACTTCCATCAAGCGCTGACTAGGGTGGATCTGCATCACTAGCAACAAAAGTAAGGCAATGACCCTTGGAACGAGTAATCTGAACTACCCATTCACATCACACCAAGCTGTAGCCATGCAGGAAATAGGTATAACAGTGGGGAGATCTCTGGACATTTCTGTGCAGTGTTCAGATAAATCAAGCAAAATACATTTGAGGTTCTACAAGGAACAGAATAGAAACTATCACACCCCCTCAGCTGGAATATTGTGTTCACGTTTAGTCACGTCATCCCTAGAGGGATGTAGCAGAAACAGAAGGGGTTCTAAGACATGTGACCTAGAGAACAAACAAGAATGAATGCATAATTGAAACAAACTGGGGATGTGTTGCTTAGAAAAGAAACCATCAGATGTTGCCAGACCAGAATCTGAGATTAATTTTGAAAGAAAATGCACAGTGTGAATTTCCTCCTTGTGATATCCAGAATCAATAATGGGCAACAGTGTTTAACACAAGATGTATTTCAAACAATTATTGGGAAAAGATCCTAGCACTTGAGACTAAACAGAAATCTATCCCCCTTTCATTTATGTCTATGTTTTATTTGCAACCTTGTCTAATTAAAGAAGACTCTACCATCTTTCTGTCCCAAGTTGCAATCATGGGTAGTGTGAATGGTTGGCATGAGTGAATTAACGGTAAGTGAGCTGAAGAGAGGCCATACTAGGGTCCGAGTCAGTGCCCTGGTGAATTATGGACTTGTTTATCACTTTGAGAAAAAGACTGTGTGCGCTGAGAGAAGCAAAACTACACAAAGGAGGCAAAGTTCCCAAGTAAGAGGAGCCAGCGAGGAAAGAACTCGACTAAGGACATTCCGTTGCTTATCCCTCGTGGCTAGGTGAGCAGAATTGGGTGTTGTAAGTAGGATGTTCCAAGATTGGTCATAAGCACACCCGCAGGTGGTGAGATCATCAGACATCACCCCCACTGGAACTGTCCCTCACCGAGGGGATATATACCACACCAATTGGCCACACAGGCCAGACTCCATAGATTTGGCACATTGGAGCGACATGCACATCGGACTTCTGCCTCAACCAAATTAACCATTACCTGGGGTTCGGCCAGCACCAGAGGGTGAGTGATGTGTTTGTGAATGTGCTTTCTAACTGCTAACTACTAGATTTAAACATTGCTTCTGAACTGCTTCTTAATTGCTCGCAATAAAGTTTGTTAAAGGCATATTTTGTCTGCTGTGAATTCATTGGTTGGTGTAAGTCTGGCCCATGGGACTACTGTATGGACTGATCACCCGTGCAACAGCGCCCTCTTGTGACACTGCCACATCACATCACACCACAATTGTTCCCAGGGCAGCACACTGACATTACAACAGAATTATAGTCTCACCGTGGGTCTGAGCAAAAGACACTGGGCTAGATAACAGAGAAAGCTCCTTTGGTATATATGGTCGTGCCAATTTTCTTCCACAATTTGATCTGAGGAAGTGAGTCTGGCCCACGAAAGCTCATCACCTAATAAACCATCTTGTTAGTCTTTAAAGTGCTACATAGTCCTGTTTTTTGTTTCAGCTAGACCAGACTAACACGGCTACATATCTATTACTATAAAAACAACGTGACACTCATTATACAGGTTAAAATTGGCTAGCTAGTAGGTCTCAAAGTAATTGTGCATGGGAAATCACCATCAACTGGGAATGTTTCTAGTGGGTTCCCCAGGAGACTGGTTCTTTGCCCAACACTATCCAATATTTTTATCAAAGATCTGGAAGAAAATGAGTTACCTGATAAAGTTTGTGTAATCTACAAAAATTGGTAGAATGGTAAGTAATAACAAGAATAGATTAATGATACAGAGTGATCGGGATTGCTTGCTAAACTGGACACACGAGAACAATGTGTGTGCTTCAATATTGCCAAATCAGTGACCTAAAAAGAATAAAAAGCCTTGCGAATGGTTCTCTGGAGATCTATCAATTAGGGATGTTAAAATTAGATTAATCAACTAATTGAAGTCAATAGGATTTCCATTGACTATGTGATTAGTCAATAAGGGCGCTTCTGCTTTGAAATGTAGCTAGAGCCGCCCAGCTGTTGCTACATTTCAAAGGCAGAAGTGCCACTTGGTGTTCCATGTTTGAAATGTACAAGAGGCCAAATGGGGGGACTTTTACATTTCAAAGGTGGAACACCACCACTGTGCCCCTACCCCCTCCCAGGGAGCTGGAGCAAAGGGGAACTGGCTTTTAAGCTGGCTCCTCCAGCACGCCCTTCTCTTCTCCGCTCTTGCTGCCTCTTTCTGATAGAGGCAGCAAGGGGGGGGGGAAGCGACTAGTCAATTAGTTGCTTACGTCCTTACCATCAACTCATCTAGATTAGGGATGTCAAAATGCCCCTATTCAGGTAAATGTGCAACTGCTGAAAATTTCAGCGGTTACATGTTTACATGTGGGGGGTGGGAACAAGGAAGAGCCAGTGCAGCATAGGGGCGGGGGGCTCCCACTGGCCAAACTGCAGTCTTATGCCCAGACCCCGTACTCTCATCCTCCTCACACATACACCCTGCCTATTCCCCGCTGCTTTCTCTGATACAGAAGCAGCAGCGCGGGGGGTGGGGCTGTGTTAACCACTTAAACACATACACTATCACATCCCTAATGTAGACAATGATCTAGTTTTACAAGAGACTACATGAAAAGCACCAGCAAAGTCAGTACAAACTAAAATGTCATGTTTATGCTGCCGAACATACCATCTCAGTGTTTCTCAACCTGGAGGTTGCGATTTATATCATAACTCTATGGTAAAAATGAGATATAAAGCATGCAATTACTGAAAAATTGCTTGATACTTTTGTATTTTGTAGGTAAATAGTTAAGTGAGGTGAAACTTGGGGTACACAAGACAAATTGGCCTCCTGAAAGGGGTACAGTAGTCTGTAAAGTTTGAGTACCACTGGTCTAGGGCATAATTCAATATAAAGGGATGCTCTGGGAAGTAGAGACTTTAAAACAGACTGGGAAATCATAGTGGATAACCAGTGGCATATGATCTTCCAGTGTGTCACTGTGACTAAATGGGCTAATGCCTGGTTATAGAAACAGGAGACTATTAATTGCACTTTGAGAGGTTATATTTAGGGAAGTACAGTAAAACTCCGATGGCCTGGCATCTGACGGTCCGGCACTCCTGATGGTCCGGCACCATCAGGAACCCAGAAGTGCTCCGGGCAGCTGGACCATTGGAGCTGCTCTGCCCCCAGCTTCCCCGATTCAGCCACTGCTAAAACTGACCAGCGCTGAATCCGGGAAGCAGGGGGCAGAACAGCTGGAGCGCTGCCGGGTAGGTCCAGTAGCGCTGCCCCTCAGGGCTGCGGGACCAACCTGGCAGCACCCCAGCTGTCCCGGATTCAGTCACTGCTGAAATTGACCAGCGGCTGACTCCAGGAAGCCCGAGACAGAGCTGTTCTGCCCCAGCTTCCTGGAATCAGCCGCTGGTCAGTTTGAGCAGCAGCTGACTTGGGGACACAGGGGCAGAGCCGCTGGGGTGCTGTCCGGTTTGTCTCTGGGGGACCCAGGGTCGGCGCC